ACGAACAGGGTGTAGGAGGTTTGGGTGAAGGCGGGGGCGTTGTCATTGACGTCGGAGACCAGCACGGTTATGTTGAGCTGTGTTTGCAGCCTGGGTGTTCCCAAGTCAGTGACTGTGATGGTGATGTTGTATTCGGCTCTGCTCTCTCTGTCCAGAGGTCTCTCTGTTAGTAGGGTGTAAAAGTTTTCCAGAGAAGATTTCAGGAAGAAGGGTAGATCATCCTGAATAGAGCAACTTATTTTCCCATTTTCTTCCGAATCAAGATCTGAAACACTGAAAACTGCAACCACAGTCTCAGGCAAGTTCTCAGGTATCAGACTCGTAAATGCAGACATGGTGAGCTCTGGGGCATGGTCGTTCACGTCCATAACTTGAATCAGAACAGTGCATTTTCCAGAAAAGCTTCCACCATCTCTTGCCTCGATATTGACTTCATAGGACTGAATTGTTTCAAAATCAAGGTGTTTTTTTAGCTGAATTTCTCCTGTCAATGGATTGATTGTAAAGGTGTTGCTAATCTCCTCTGAAGCTTGGAAAAGGGAGTAGGAAATCTCTCCATTGATTCCTATGTCTGCATCCGTAGCAGAGACCGTGACAACCAGGAATCCTATCGGACTGTCTTCAGGGATCTGCACCCTATAGAAAGGCTGCTCAAATTCAGGAGCATTGTCATTGACATCTACAACTTCGATGTAGACCTGAGCGGTGCCAGACCGTGGCGGAGAGCCACCGTCCAGTGCTGTGAGGGTTAACCTGAGCTCAGGTTCCTCCTCGCGATCCAAAGCTTTGTCCAACACCAGTTCTGGATATTTCCTGCCATCGCTGCGTTTCCGGGTAAGGACCCGAAAATAGGAGTTGGGACTGATTATATAGTTCTCAATATTATTTGGGCCTACATCCATGTCTTGAGCATTCTTCAGAGGAAATGTAGTCCCAGGAGGACTGCTCTCTGATACTTGTAGCAACATTTCTTTGTCCAGGAATACCGGAGAGTGGTCATTTATGTCTACCACTTGTAGCTCAGCTTGAAAAAATTCTAAGGGACTCTCTAGCAACACCTGGAAACGTAGCACACAGGGCTCCGTGTGACCGCACAATTCCTCGCGGTCCAGTTTCTCATTTAGCAACAAATCTCCTGTCTCCTGATCAAGCTGCAAATGTAGTTTGTTGCCTTTGGAAACGACCCTAACTCCTCGCCTAGAGAGTTCCCTCTGCCCCAGACCCAGGTCCTTTGCTAAATTGGTTACAAAGGAACTGCCTTCAGTTTCCTCCAACACAGAATAGCGCCTAGGTGCCGCCGCGCCCACCACAGATAAGACCAAAAGGAGAAGAAAGGAAAACAGGACTTGCCTTTGTCTGCAAATGAGCTTCCCGCTGGGCTCCATTGTTCGATACAGCCTCCTGTGAGGGTGGTTCTGCAGAACTGTAAAGTCCTAGTGTCTGAGACCGCAGTTATTCCACCAGATATTACAGCTCAGAAATATTCCAGCGAGTAGTCCTTTCCAGAGGACCCAGTCCTCCTTTCTTTGGCATCCACGCTTCCGGTGGGCTTTCAGGCTCTGATGGTAAATTTTGCAAGTTAATGGAGCTGCAGCTGCTCTTCGGTTTGTACCTTCTTATCCTACAGCGCCACCATGCGTCCTCAAAGAATTTCACATTTCGTAGGATGAAAATGGATGCAATATTCCTAACTCTGCCTACGTGTACCACGCAGCTATGTAAAGTTACAACACTACCTCTACTATCGCCAGACCTTATTGGACAGACAACTGCCTGAAGGCCAAACAAAAGAAATGACATTAGTGGGGACTCTTTCAATAATGCTATTTGAGTTTGGGGCAAAAAGGAAATATTTAGGTAACAACCTGGCTGGGAAGAGAGAATATATGCAGTAAATCAGAAAATATATATGCTTGGAATAACAGAAAACTTTTAGAATGATATACTTTTATTGCCATGAACCATGGAAATAATCAGTAGCTGTGAACCTCGGACAGATTATTTAACCTCTCTCTGCCTTAGTTTTCTTATCTGTAGGGTGAGGATCATAATAGTACCTACCACATAGGGCTGTTGTGAATTCCTCACCTTACAGACGA